GCCATTTGCAATTGAGCGTGCACCGTGCATTTTTTTCGAGTTGTTTTAGCATTGAAATTAACATGTAACTATGGGCGGAGCAACGTCTTACTAAGGCGGCTCAAAATGTTTCTTTATCTACCTTAAGCTGTGCGATTCGATTCGAATAACTCATATTGCTTCTGAACGATTCACAAACAACATTTTATATACGCAGTTCTTCATAGATTACATGCTTGCCCAAGATCCGAACCACGTAAAGTTTTTCGATGAATCAGGGATCAGACAAACTATCATTTTGTATAGAATTGTACTAGCAGCGAACATAAATTGGTTAGTCAAAACATAATTTGGAACGTCGAATATTTACGCTAATGGGCACTTAGTAGACAAACAAAATTGGTTTTAAAGCGACCAAACTTAGTAACATGAAATCAACAACATTAAATATACAGTAGACACCACTATTAACCGACATAATAGTCGATACTAAAGTGACAAAAAGTTTATATTTCTAATTCCAAAGCAAAAATATTTTGCACTGGCACCTTCAGGTAAAGCGAAAAGTACAAGGTGTGTATTATTTCGCACAAATAAACTGTAAACAAACCATCAAACTAAAGTGTTTGTCTGAGTCTTGGCGGGGGGTCAAATTTAATAAGCCGCCTTAGTAACACGTCGCTCCGCCCATAGTTACATGTTAATTTCAATGCTAAAACAACTCGAAAAAAATTCACGGTGCACGCTCAATTGCAAATGGCGGTAAATTACTTCGAAAACGATCTATCTAAGTTATCTAGTAAGTTCATTGGCGAAGTAATTTTCAAAAAATACGTTATGTAAGACGAGAAAATCAAAGTTAAAGTTTATGTAAATCAAGGGAAATCTCTATCACATATAAAGATACGACACGCTTATTATTTTTCTTTGTGTTTTCCTCATGAATTATTAATGAGTTTTTGAATACAGTTTCGGAATACCAGCTGAATTATTGAGACTTTTATACTTGCCATATAATAAAACACGTATTTACTGAGATCTCGGGAAAACAGCTTGTTTTGTGGCCCCTCAACGACAACGGCGGTCTCGGGGCCACAATACACGCTGTTTTTCTCAGTCTCAGTAGATAAGTGATAATTAATATCTCGCAAACAAGCAAGGCCCCGGCTTTAACAACTGTATAGCTTAAATATTTTCTGTTTCCACAGCGATTTAACGTGGCAATCACTCGAGCCCAAGCGCTTCTCATTGTGATTGGTAATCCCAATGTTCTGTGTCACGATCCAAACTGGAGAAAGTAAGTTGTACTGTTAGGATAGATCTGTCAGTTGCACCATTATTTGTCCGAAAGAAACCTAAACTAAACTAACTTTATTTATACTGGATAGCTCTATCAGTTCTGAACTGGTCTTCCTAGAGGTCCAGTAAAGATCATCTCTTATTGATCCAGTGTTACTACATGAGGAGGAAACCTAAACTAAACTAACTTTATTTATACTGGATAGCTTTATCAATTCTAAACTGTCGCCAACACACTAACTCTATGTAACTCTCCAGGTTTCTTCAGTACTGTATGGATAACGGCTCATTCTCTGGTAGTTCTGGGTCGGGCGGACGTCCGTTTCAAATGCCAGAAGATGCTGACCAAAGCCTTGCGGAAAAGTTGGCGAAACTTCGTTTAAATGAAAATTCTCTGTTCGAAGAGGAAAATGATCTGACTGGCGCAGATTACGAAAATAGACCATGGAGGTCTGACGAACAATGAAGAGTAGGTATATTTTATAGGCACAATTGACCATTTGCGTAATAGACTAAATTTTGATCTAGACAAAAATTTCATCACAGCTTGAAAGAGCATCACAAAATTAGTAATATTCCAAAGTTTCGTTGCGAAATGTTGTAAAATGCGGATAATATAGCCTTGCGAAGTTTGCAATTTTCAGTCATTTTAGATTACAAACGGGAAATTGGCTATATTATCCGCATTTTACAACATTTCGCAACGAAACTTTGGAATATTACTAATTTTGTGATGCTCTTTCAAGCTGTGATGGAATATTTGTCTAGACTTGTTGAGATAAAAATTTTGTCTATTACGCAAGTGGTCAATTTATACTAGCTAGAGACAGATTATTTGTCTTTTGCCCTGGTCAAATAAGGATTAGAACTGTTCGCGTTTCCCTAGTAACTCTCGTCGACTCGTCAACTTTGAGCTGGTAGGTTCAAATTTTTCTGAGAGTTGACGAGAGTTCTTTGCTCGTTTGATTGCTACTATGTAACCAATGCCAATGGATGATTTCTGCTACATGCGAAATTTTGATCAAGGCAAGAAGAACGAAATCCAACACCACGGCTAGAAAGAGCGTCTTAGAATGAGTAAAACTACAAAGTTTGGTTGCTAAATGTTGTAAAGTGAAGAAAATATAGCCCTGTGAAGTTCGCAAATTTTGTATATATTTGTGTTACGGGCGGTAAAAATAACCACTTTCTTCTCAAAAAGGGTTATTTTTATATACAAAATTTGCGAACTTCACAGGGCTGCATTTTCCTCATTTTACAACATTTAGTAACCAATCTTAGCAGTTTTACTCATTCTAAGACGCTCTTTGTGGCTGTGGTGTTGGATTTCATTTAGTCTACAGCCATTTGCAATTGAGCGTGCACCGTGCATTTTTTCGAGTTGTTTTAGCATTGAAATTAACATGTAACTATGGGAGGAGCGACGTGTTACTAAGGCGGCTCAAAATGTTTCTTTATCTACTATAAGCCGTGCGATTCGAATAACTCATATTGCTTCTGAACGATTCACAAACAACATTTTATATACGCAATTCTTCATAGATTGCATGCTTGCCCAAGATCCGAACCACGTAAAGTTTTTCGATGAATCAGGGATCAGACAAACAAACTAATCATTTTGTATAGAATTGTACTAGCAGCGAACATAAATTGGTTAGTCAAAACATACTTTGGAACGTCGAATATTTATGCTAATGGCACTTAGTAGACAAACAAAATTGGTTTTAAAGCGACCAAACTCAGTAACATGAAATCAACAAGATTAAATATACAGTAGACACCACTATTAACCGACATAATAGTCGATACTAAAGTGACAAAAAGTTTATATTTCTAATTCCAAAGCAAAAATATTTTGCACCGGGACCTTCAGGTAAAGCGAAAAGTACAAGGTGTGTATTATTTCGCACAAATAAACTGTAAACAAACCATCAAATTTATTTCTTCTGTGATCAAACTAAAGTGTTTGTCTGAGTCTTGGCGGGGGGTCAAATTTAATAAGCCGCCTTAGTAACACGTCGCTCCGCCCATAGTTACATGTTAATTTCAATGCTAAAACAACTCGAAAAAAATTCACGGTGCACGCTCAATTGCAAATGGCGGTATATGGCTGGAATCAGAAAAACTCTCATGCGAACTCTCGTTTTTCAACTCTCAGCCAGTCTCATGTCGGTCTCTCTCGTTTGACCAGGGCTGCGAAAATATGTAGAAACCATTTAATTAATCATGTTTATTCATTCTGCATTTTTGCCCAGTAATTAGAATTCTTAGTTTTGCGAGTAGGGTTTTAGTTTATGAACTTTTTGGCGCTTACAGTAAATTACAGTATTAAAAACGTTGAAAAATCTACCATTTTATAAAAAAAAAGATTATAAATAATATATAATGTAAACTTATTGAATTTTAAGAATAGATTAATAAATTGTTTATGCTAAATAGCTAATATTATTTTAGCTAATTATAAGTTATTTAATTAACTTTTCGCTTATTTTGAATAAAAAACATGTTGTAAAATTCAAGGTTCAAGTTTTTTGTTGATATTTTTGTTTTTCATTACCTGTAATTTTCACTGATAATTAGATTAACTGAACTAACTTTATTTATACTGTATAGCTCTATCATAGATTGATGTTCTAAACTGTTCTCCTTAGAGGTCCAACAAGGATCATCTCTTATTCATCCAGTGTTACTACAGGAGGAAACCTAAACTAAACTAAACTTTATTTATATTGGATAGCTCTATCAGTTCTAAACTGTTCTTCCCAGAGGTCCAGCAAGGATCATCTCTTATAATATTAATCCAGTGTTACTACAGGAGGAAACCTAAACTAAACTAAACTAACTTTATTTATACTGGATAGCTTTGGGTACAGATCATATTGGTTACAATATATTGAATTTATTCTGTAGTTTTATTGTCGTAACTGAACTACGACAAATATATCCGTGTTATTCTTTTATTTCTCCGTGTTCCGCCACCCGCAGTTCAAGCGCTCGTCTTTGAGGCTGGGGGAGAGCGTCCATGTTTGAAAGATCAGCGCGATTTTTTAAAATTTTGTTTTTTTTTATTTTTAAATTCCTGGCATTTAAACCTTACTTTTGTGGCTTTTCTTTGTATAAATGATTTCCTAAATACAACAAGGCTATAGTCTGCAACAGGATGAGTTGCTTTGCTGGAAAATTAAAGGAATATCCATCGTTTTCTGTGGATTGTTTTGACAAGAATAATTTGGATTCGGATGTTTATTTTCTCTCGCATTGTCATCGGGGTACGTCAGATACTGTCATACTGGGTTCGTTGTGTTGTGTAGTTCGAATGCCCGTGTATTTATTGTTTTCTGTTTCTGTTTTGTCGAAAATGTTTGCAATTCCCACAAACAGTTTGATGTATCTCATGATTTTTCTAATTCTGGCTAGCTGTGCAGTGTTGTTGACTTCTGTCATTCCTGTCACTGGT